GCTCTGAATAATGCAGTGCATTCATCTATCGGTTTCACGCCGTTCTACGTGAACAGGCTTGTCAATCCTCTCGTCCCGCTGACACCGCCATCCCATGGCTCAATGCATGGTGAGGGAGGAGTAGCCGAACGGCTAGCCCCCCACTGTTCGTAAAAAAGTCGAGACGTCCTGTCTACCAGACTGAGTGTTCGCGATGCGATGGCTGAAAACCAAGATATGCAGAAAGAACATGCAGACGAAGGAGGCAGAAGAAATGTTGATAATTTTGAGTTTGGAGACCTGGTCTTAGTAAATACTAAAAACCTTCCAACACATGCAGTCTCTGCTGTCTTTAGGACAGAACTCCGTCGACGGTGTATTGGAGCTTTTAAGGTTGTGGCCAAGCGAGGCTTCGCGTATACACTAAACCTTTCAAAACGGATGCGCACCCAACCGATGTTCTATGTGGGCTTGCTTAAGCCGTACCTGGATCCGGCGCAAGTGAACGCGGATACGTTGGCGCAGGGGTGGCGCCCGAAAGCGGTCGGCCACCCAGAAACCAAACTAGCAGCTAATTTTGAGCACGGAGTTCAACTCTCTCTATCTTCAGCAGTGTCAGGCGCTTCACCGTCGCACAATACGATGCATTTGCCTTCTCGACGGCTAGAAGCCGCTCCGACAGAGCGCGATGGTCCTCAACGTGAGGCAGTCGGTGCAAAAGTGCTCCAAGCTCTCGGGGTCTTTCGCACAGCGGTAAGCGACTCCAGCATGATGGTCAGCTAAGTTCTGATCGCGACAGACCTCGTCCTCAAGATCTCAAAGAGCATCGCGAGTCACCGGACGGCGATCAACCAAGTCGTCATCGTCCGCCGCCGACTCATCTCGACGAGAATGGTTGTGTCCACAATCACGTGGAACGTCTTGTGGGTCGACCTCGTCGACAGGGTCAGACTCAGTATCTTGTGAAGTGGCGGGGTACCTCAACTCGTGGGAGTTTTAAGTGCCACTTCGGCAAGACTGCCCGGATGATCTGAGCTAGAGCTATGACCCTGAACTGCTGTGGTCGTAGACTCACCCGTGTGAGATACCACAGGGCTCGCGGGAATATGATAGACTATTCTATATGTTGCAGGGCGACAACACGCAGGAAGTCGGCGTTGCGCTTGAGTTTGGGAAACTCAAATCAAAGACGGCGTTTTACGTGCACGTCCACTTCCACGTGGCTCCGCTGTAAGTTAGACAGGAGGAAAACTTTCCGGTGCCGCTGCACCATCGCTTATAGCGCTCTTTATCATTCTCAGCGATTTTGCCAGGGGTAAGTACCACAGGAATTGTCCGCATTGCGGGTACAGGAGCGCTTCCTCTTTGAGTGCGAAGTCGATCGCGGTACCTATCCAATGGGATTTCTTGAGTTTGTAAGTAACGAGCTCAGACAGCTTTTCGTTGGTCAAACTCATATTATGTAGTTACCAATAGCTAGACCACTTAGACGCCCAATGATCTCGCGATCGTGTGCTCCGCTTCTGTAGCCGGATTCGCCGAGCGGAAGCCGTATTCCACACGAGGGTCTAGGATCGACCGTGGATGCGCGCGCATAGCCGCCCTGCGGGCGGATTCCAGCTGTATTTTCTGTGCCTCCTCGAGGAGATTGGTAATGATACCACTTCCCTCGGAAGTCGAGCAGTTGGGAAACGGACACGGTGTCCGCAAGGATCGAGCATGGCTCACATCGCGACGCTGGCGCACCTCGCCTTCCTTTTCTTCCCATCCTGGTAAAGGAGTATCTGACTCGTAGTCGCCTTCCTTCAGATCCTCGACGAGGTAATCCGTCGCCCGTGGTGAGCGCGGAGCGTGGTACTCGGTTGCCGAGGGCTTCGGGTGCGCTTCCCTTGAAGCCACGGACGTGCTGTCCGAAGTTGCACCGCGTACAGGAGACGAAAGAGGGCTCTGCCCGCGGACGCTCTCGGACCAGAGAGACCGGGTATCTTTCGTGTCCTAGACACAAAGATCATTGAGCATAGAATGCGTGCAGAAGATCCTGGGGGTGTAGAGGTGTCTTCGACACGCGAGCCTCGTACCTGGCGACTACTTTATGTGAATTGTGAGTGCTCACAATTTTGTTGGGGGAGAGTAAAACGGGTTTTCACGTACCCGATATATAGGGGTGGGTCACACAAGATGGCCTGACCACACAATGGTGTGACCACGACCGCACAATGGTGTGGCTACACCTTAACAAGAAGTCACTACGTAGCTGGACTGCCAGTAGTTATGCAGTTTAATTAGGTTTTACTATCAAATCGGGAAACCTATAGATTTAGGTACAGATAGACGGCTTTTCTGCACATCAAACAACGAAGTACAGCTAACATTTTTAACGAAAGAGTCTATATTCGCCCTGGGTTAAGATTGTGGTTACTCTTGGAGTAAGCGGGCTGCGATCCGCCACACTCGCACTGGTTCCAACTATAGAACGAAGGTCACCGACCTATATCTTCAAAGCGAAAGAGCAACGGCAGCCCCGCTGCAGATTCCATGACCTACAATGCCCCTTCTTCGGATAGAGAATTTTCTTTCCCCCTGGTCCTCAGAGACCGAAAGATTAACATTTGTATTCACATGATTTTTTCTGTTACTCCACCGACATCCAGTTGGGGTGCTCCAGGATGTGTCACACTACACACTAGCATATTCTGAGAGCTAGCGAGCGCTTTCAGGCGAACAGTTACCGCCTCGGGGAATTTGGTCTCCAAATCCATGATCGGGACCAGCGATAGATGTGAGTTGATCAAGACCAAGCTGATTTTGTATATTTATGTTTCATAGTCGCGAAACCATTTTCGGAATTTGTTCATTTTGAGCACAGGTTACACTACGTACCCCGTAACACCTCCTTGCATAGTCTCTCGGTTTAAGGTCCGAGATTTGCTGCAACGCCTTGATAAGGAAAATAGCGCGCATGTAGTCGACCCACGTTACATAGTTGTCGCAGTTAGGTGTGTCGATCGCATTTCATGCATCGAGATTATGGTTGTTGGGCTCATAGTTTACAACAGTGATATAATGGCGAAGCGGAGGCACGCTAAAGGTTTGCGCGAGGGCCGCGAAAAGGCACTGCGAAACAAAAGGAGGATACGAAGTAATTGATATATCGCCTTGCATCGAATGACGTCACAACTTTTCGCGAGTTCGTTTGTAAACATTATAAGCTGCAGGTAATGGTTATTTTTGATTCAAAGACCCCTGGACTTTGCATAAAATGACTGCGTCGACGGATGTGGAAAACATCAGCGGCGTTTGCATAGGATAGCGGCTTTGCTTTTTGCTTTTTGCTTTTCCAGGCTAAAACTTGTTTGTAGCCGTAATTGTTGAGGAGGTAGTCGAATTGTAATTCCCGCGAATTTGCAATGTCGGAGAGACCGATCGGCCAATAAGCAGTGTATAAAAAGGTGGCGAGTGGCGGACAATGCAAAGTTCACTGTGGTGCTAGGTGCTACTGATAAGCTGTAGCCGCTCTATATACAGCCGAGATGAACTGCAAAGTACTGAAGCATTGTTGGTTCAGTGGAATTTCATACGGTGCTTTTAGACTTTGTAATTACAGCTTTTCAGGTTATCAAGCAGGTAAATTGCTTCTCAGCTCATGATCGCGGAAGCGACGAGGTAACGCATCGAAGCAAGACAACTTTGCGAAGATAAAGTTTCCGAACTGTTACAGACCAAGAGGCATCAAGCATTTACTTTAAGGAGAGACACAGCCTACTACACAACCATGTGCGACTCAACATTGAATGATGCCTGTAGATCGAAATAGGTTTTGCGTCCAATGAAGGTGCAATGGTCAGTTTCATGCATGAGCGGTGACTTTCGTAAGCGATGTGCGCTCATCAATCAAAGAAAGTAAGACCTGACAAAGCCTCGGTCTGAATTGTCGTGGTCATGATCGCTTCCAGATTCGCGCTGATTGCTCCTCTGATTTGACCATAAAGCAATGTTTGGCATTCTCCTCAAAGTAAATCTCGTCACTTGGGCAATGGTAGCCGCACTTTTCATAAAATCCCTCACTTTCGTACTGCGATGATAGCACAAAGAGATCTATTCGCACATATGCTTCTCGATAGCCTCCATGAGTTGCGCACCGAACTTCTCGCCACGGTATTCTGAAAGCACTGCCACCCGTCCAAATTTAGCCTTACAACTAAGTTCATCCAGCAGACAGCGAGCCACTGCTAAGTAAACGCCCGTTGCAGAATCTTTTCCAGAAAATAGATAATGGTTTGCAAGTTCCACTGCTTCGGGAAATTCCTTGCTCTTCGGCAAAGGCGCGACGGCGCAAAGAAATCACCGTTGCATCTCATCTGATGTCGCTACGGGGGTCATAGCTCGTCCAAGACATTTATACCGGTATTGGTACATATTCACCAAATGGAAAATTTTAAATTCTCCGAGGGTCAGCTGCTCGGTTTCAAGTTAAGATTGATATCGTAACCGGCATCGCAACAGTTCAATGACGCGTTATCTAACACCTCGTCGTTTTAGTTTACACACGTTTACATGCGCTGATCAGAGAACAATCATACGAGCTCTAGAGGCATAACGATATTGTTGCGCTTCAACGGCAGTGGTTTGAGTTTACGTCCTCGACTAAAGTCAAAACAAGTCATCCTCTCGCGGAACACATTTAGAGCTCCAGCATACCACGACCAGGCCTGTCCATGTCTACCTCCTAGGGTATAAACAGCTTATTTAAGCACATTTATTACAACATATTGTTCCAGTTGAATTTTCAGCAACTTCAACCTTTTGCTCGAACAAAACCCCTCCGACGGCTTTACATCTTGGGTATATATCTTGATCTGGCATTATGTGAATATTTCTTAGTGCGTTCACATGCAAATCAGTTTAGTGCTGTCTTCAATTCACACTCGACTATGCGAAAGCAGATACCGATACTTATCCTCTCAGCATCCGGCTGTTCGGTTTCAACAACGCGATATTGGTTGCAACAAAAGTCCACTTAAATGAGCACCTCGATTCAGCAAAGGCACTTCCACTGTCCCTCCTTTGCAGTCTTCCGTCACCTTCGCAAGTGCACATCATTGTGCGTCTACTACTAGACTGTCTTTGCGGCCAAAAGCTCATGGTCTCTTTCCCTCTTTCTCAAAGGCCTTTCAATCGCGTGGAGCTGAGTGACATCGAACGTCGACGCTTTCACTTACAAGCCACTAATCTCTTGAGCAATGCGCTTTCCAATTATGAAGAGTTTGCACTCTTTCGACACCGCCAGGTAGATCGCCGCCGCTGGAAGCCTATTAAGAACCATGGCAACCTCACAGTGTACCGCGAGACACACACTTTCGCTGTCGGCCGCGCGCAAAGTATTGCTGACGACAAAATGTTTGTGCGGACCAAATCCACGACTTATGTCTCGCCATTGGGTCCACGCATCTCTGGTTTAAGTATCGGTTCCGATGAGCATGGAAAAGGCTTCAACTTGACGCCTGCCCAAAAGGCCTCTGAGTTGGAACTTCTCTCTGGATGGGGCCCTTCGGCCACAAAGGCTAGAGAGCATAAGAGGAGAGCCAAGAGCATATCATCCAGTGCGAAGGCTAACCCAAATACACGTTTTACACTCCTTGGAGTCGGCATAATTTCCGGTTCGCTCGACGACATCATGTATGGTGTGGCCGCTCCAGACCGTGCCAGTATGACCATTAAGATTGCTAACTTACACACTGATGTATTAGATGGAGATGTGCTCTCCTCGATCGAAGGTCCATCGCATCGCAGTCCATTTCGATTTCTCGGCATCAAATGGATGGTCAAATCAATGACTGGGGTCGCGGCTAAGCATAAACTCGCATCAACGAGGGACTTGGTATATCTCGAAGCGACGGGTGTGACTACACGGGGCGATGGCGTGAGAATTGGATATCAGATCGTACATTCGGTCAAGCTTGGGAGCTGCCCCGAGCTTTATGACTCACATGGCATCATTCGAGCACACTATGAAAGCATTCATATTTTTATAGAGCTCAATAGGAAGACGGTCGACGTGTTTTCGAGCTCCAGTGTTATACCTAATGGCAAACTTTCAGAATCCGCTATCTTGCAAAATTGTGCGAATTTACTTGTCCATTGCGAAAAGTCAATACAATGTTCACAGAACAAAAAGCTGGCGTGGCGACTGACCCGTAAGCCCGTTCAAAGCGATAAAATGGATAAAGCTCTACGCTGCAGTGTCTGCAACAAGACGTTTGGTCGCTTTCTTCGTCAGAGTAGTGAGTGCGAATTGTGCTTGGCTAAAATGTGCTCTAAATGCTGCATTGAACGGACTTTAGAACGTGTGGATGCAACAAGCGATAAGCAGCACGTAACCAAAGTAATTTCAAGCGGTATCGTCGAGCTTTGCACCAATTGTATTGCCACAAATATCGAAATAAGTGCATTGACGATTGCGCGAGAGGAAGTAATGAGTGGACGATTTGGCACCATTCTCGACGGAAACAAGCATTCAAGTGATTCAGTCACGACCATCAGCATTGAAGATATGCCACGTCACCAGGAGCGTCATCAGCGTCCATTGCAAAATTCAATTGAGACTTCACGATATTACGAGGACGAAATAAAATATCGTTTGGACTCAATTACAAGACAAAGACATTTTGAGTCTTCGCGATCACCTTCGTCTCACGAAGTCCTCATGAATAAGACTCGTCATGTAGGTGGACGAGGACATTCCGCCGAGGTGTGCACAGGAATACAGCAACGATTGGTGCCTCCAAGAGGCTCGCGCAGCCGGCACCAACCTGTGCATGAAGATTTAATTGTCAAAATTGACAATTTTGAAAGTGGTCATGGCTTACCAGAGGACTTGCCCTACTTGGATGACCTTTCTCAATACACTGTGAGTAAAGAGAGCATAAGCACAACCCCAAGCTCATCTGGCGGTAGCTTTGGAAACATCAATTTGGCTATGTCGCTATCATCGATCGACGGTCAAGAAAATTCAGAGATGGAAAGTATTCGGGACACATTCGACAGCTTCGGGGACCTCGTCAATATCCAGGACGACATGGACGATGTTGATGAAATGCTGGATACGCGGGATATGGAAGCAGTGAAGCGGGCATCTCAAATTCGTCACGAGATATGGCAGCAAATTGCCGACCTTCGTGACGCTGCTGAAAATACATACCAGCTCACAAAGGAAAGCACAGCAAAGCACATGAATCATGGTGGCTTCATTAAACCGCTATTGTATCCCGATGCGCTCTAATTACAATTTCTTAGGCTGAGAAAAGTTTCAACGTGTGATGGCTTAAACCTTCTTCATTTTGTAGATATATTTTTCATGGCTGTTTGCTACCAGACATATACAAAAGGAGTGTGTATGTTTTTAATCTGTAGGAGAATAATGTATACAAGGATCAATGTGAGATGTGTCTATTTCAAGCTGTCTGTAGTTTTGCTGGTCTCTAAACGGATCAAAATTCTTGGGTCCAGCCGAGTCAGGTCACTTTGATATCATGGATGAGGTTAAGAAGTTGAGTCTTTCTACATTATCAGCCTGCCCAAAAGCTTATGACAACTGTATAGCTGCTAGCTTATGAAATAGCTTGTACCCTGACAATATGCTAATGAGCAAAGTTAACACGAGATCGCGCACTTATCTTGCAGTTTGGCTGATGATTTGATATTGAATTCTGCTCAGAGAAATATTTGGCTGTCTAGCGATAATATTGATGGGGCGTGTCAATAAATGTCAGATATTTATAAAATCTGCAGATTTTACTCCAAAAGGATAGCTCGGATATGTTGTTCATATAAAGATCACTTTGAATGTATCGCCAACTCTCTCGGCAACCTAGAGGTACATCTAATATAATGCAAGTTTTATTTGCGCTCAGATTATAAAATTCCGATTGATTCTAGTTTAATCTATCGAATATAGTAGCGTCATGAGCTTGTTGCCTAAAAAATACGAAGCTTCTGAAGTCATGACCCAAGTACATTACCATCCGACAAAGCTTCTTACTAGAGAAATAATTGAAGAGAGGCTTCATCAAATTGTTTCGAAAAACGATTGTATTTTCTACCCCACTTTCACAAAACTATTTAAGTGCAATTGAGTAGAAATTAAGTAAAAAAGGCGTGTGTGTCCAAGTCCGTCTTGATAGGCGATGGCAATGGCAAAGGTGATGGTGGGGTCAGTGTCGTCATGCCTGCGGACGTGCTCCGTAGACATACGATAGGACTGGCTACCGAGTACATGTTTTGCTTCGACCGCTTGGAAGAACACATTGGTGTTCGTAAAAAGGTTCGTGCATCCATACTGATCGGAGGTAACGTCGGTGTCGTCGCTATTAAGCAAGTTGTCGACGCTATAGTTGCTGAGGTTTGATTAGCGTTGCTGTAATGTAAGAGCCGTTTCCCGCCATTTGCTATCAACTCCTTCTGTTGACCAACCTTTATACGTCACGAAAAGACACTAATTAATTTCAGGATGGAAAGCTCCTAACGATGCTCCAGTTCCAAACGTACGAGATAGTTAAAAGCGATGATCTGTTCCTTAAGTTGAAGTTGGAGAGTGTAGGCGCGAAAGAACACTGGGTTTTGCTCCTCGAGCTTTTGCCACACGACATTTGTGAATGATGGGTCCACATTAGCCTGCTCTTTGAGCGTAACTAGAATATCATTCTGTCCAGGACTCAGCAATAAACACCACGAATATAAAATGAGATGAAAGATTTCTCACCTTGCTTAAGTACTGCTGAAGACATCTCTCGATCAAGTTTTGCACCCGCAAAATATCATTCCAAGTAAAAATCGGAGGCGAGACGGGCGTTGGAGGTGGCCGTTTAGCCCCAAGACCTGTAGAGCCTGAGCCGGTAATGATCGTGATCGCCGGTCTTGCCTTGCGAGGTACTGAAGCTACTCCTGATCTTCGAGTCTGTTGCGTTACTTCTGAGATAGCGCTTGAGACCACTGATCCTTGTTCGTGTTGCATTGCATGCTGAACTTCCAGATTTTTCTTTTTCATTTCCAATATCTCGGATGTTGGAATCAAATCTTTACTGAGCTCCGCCAGACGTCTCTCCTCTGTCTTTTTATCTATTGGCACTTCTTTTCCATCTACTCTGTGCGTTTGCCACCGATCCTCGAGATCTCTTGGCGACGAAGAATAGTTTAATCCAAACGTCTCATTAATTGAATTCGCAGCAGACTCAACAAAACTCTCACCATCTGCGTGCATACTGGCACCAGTAGATGTCTCCATTATATTTTCAAGAGTATCTGAGGAATGCTGTCCTGAGTCTGGTTTAAGCATCACCTGATTGTCTTCAATGACGCAGTCACGTCCCATAAGCTTAAGCTTGCGCTCGTGTGCTGTGGGCGTATCGCGCGCGTACAGCGATTCCATCAAATATGAGTGCCTGACCCTCGTTTTGGTAGACTCCCCCAAGAGACGCAATGAAGCGTCGTCTTTCTTCTTTGTTCGTTCGCCGTCACCAATCGGTTCGTAAATGTTAATACTTTCGAAACCATTTCTACCGCTAGAAGATTTATCATTGCTAATTTATGAAGCTAAGAACAGAAGTAGAAATTTAAAAGCACGAAGTATCCTCAAAGGTACAAGCTGCTATCTCTAAACTTTGCATGGACGGCTCACTTATCCAGCGACAGCTGTTAGTTGTTTATTTATAAATAAGCTTATTTCTTTAATTAGCGCTTATGATAAGCGCAATCAGCATTCGATAACAGTCGAATGGATGATCATGCTGAGGTCAAAATTCTAGATACAATAAGTGAGATTATCCATTTGACTCCCTCCACCCTCAGCGCCACTGTTTCACCAATGGACTATGATGCGTTTTCTGCTGATTGCATTGAAGACACCTACGAAGATGACGACCGCATTAGCTCCACCGAAAGTGTAACTTCATCTGCACGATCAATATCAGGTTTGTCTTCGACGAACACCACGCGATCTTTAAGCTCTTTTGGTAATTCTCCAAGAAATTTAGCCTCGTGCTCGTTGTCAAGTGATTTGGAGCTGATCAATATAGCTTGTGCTGCTCTTAGACAAATACCATCTAAAATCCAAGCCTTGAGTCTGAGCACAAAGTTGGGAATTTATCGTCGTCCGCTCAAAAGTCTAAAAGCCTTGTCAGAACTGGTAAATCTTACTCAGCTTGATTTATCAGGAAATGCTGTTGAACGGTTGGAAGGAATTCAGCTCCTAACGCAAATGCAGATTCTTACAATGCCGCGCAACAATATAAAGACATTGTCAGCTTCTCTTTTTACTCTAAATCGACTGATTAATTTGGATCTATCGGGAAATTTTATTGTTCATTTACCACGAGCTTTTTCGGGTCTAACGGTGTTAAAAGAGCTGAATATTTCAGGAAACAATTTGAGCGATCTACGCGAAGTGGACGTCTTGGCCCCACTTGGGAATTTGCTTTCCTGCAACCTCGCCGCCAACCCATTTTGCCGTCAGCCTACATATAAAGATTACATTATATTTAAGATACGATTCTTAGAGCGGCTAGATGAGGCAGAAGTTTCTCAGGCAGCTCGGGATCGAGCAGCAAAACGATTTCGCAACGCGACGTATTCAAGAAATCCTTCTTTGCGTGAAGCAGAACAACATTATGAAAATGAACATACTTGCCTTCTTGAAACGCAAAGTGTATTGGAAGCTGAAAACCTTCGGTTAAAAGGCGAGTTGCAAGTCAAGTCGAAGCTACTACAGAATAAATCGCGTGCATGGTCCAGTGCGACCGAACAATTGTTACAGCTGCAGCAAGAAGTGGCCATGCTCAATCTCGACCGTAATCAAAATGCATTGCCTTATCAAGACGAGATGTGTGATCCAGAGCAACTTACGATGGCAATTTCATCCACTCATACAAAAAGCTTTTCGAATCAGCAGCGACCACGATCTGCCCTACGATTTCCATCCTCAAAGCAAAGGGCCAAAAAGAGACGGGATTCTCTCACAGAGAACGACTTGAACTTTTTTAGACACAACGACGATGAAGGAAAAAAGCACCATGTTATGTTCACAGGTGCCAGAGAAATGACGAAGAGAAGCCATGCCAAGACGTTTGCGGATGCGTCTTGTTCCCCGGTGCGTACGATTCCACCAGTACTTATAACAAAGCTTTCGAATGAATTAAATGAAGTGAATCTATTTGATGAGAAAAGAGATTTATCAGAGCACAAAGACAAGAAGTTGTTGCAATTAGTCAAGCTGGAGCATGAAGAGATGACTTTTTTCAAAGCATTTGATGACATTTCTCAGGAACATTGTAAACGTGCTGATACTATAAACATAATTGATAAAAACGCTCAGAAAATTGATTCAAACGTCGACAGCGAAGACATTGTACCCGTGGATTTTGTTTTAAAGAAAGAGGAGTCTTTTTCGATTCACGACGTGAGTTTCAGTCGGATAGCCAGCCAATTTACTTTTGAAGACGACCTTGTCTGCCCAGCGTGCGAGGATACCTATTTGCCAGCTTTGAATCCACGCTCTTTGTCTGCCAGTACTCTTAGCAGCAAAAGTGAAGATGCTCCTGTCGTGTACGCCTCTGATTCTCATTTACTTTCACCATCTCGGACGAAAATATCTTTTAAGACAAGGAAATGCTACCGTAAGCAAGAGGAGTCATGTTTTTCAACATTGCCGCCGTCACCAACTCTAGCGAAAAAGGGAGCTCGTCCACGAAAGATGGAAGTGTTTTCTCTCGCAATTTCCGCGGATAATGAGGCGTTGGTCAGGCGGATCCAAGCTTTACAGTCATGCAAGGAATTGCTGTTAGCTGAGATTCGAAACAAGGAGCATTTATTGCATGTGCTGAATCAGAAGAGTGCACATTATGCGGATCAGATCAATTGTCTTAATGTAAATATCCAGGCGTGTATTGATAACGTTCCGAGTTATATTCGCTTCTCACTCTCGCCCCCAGGTTCACCTCGAAGAAGAAGCAGGAACCTTTGTGAACAGGAAATTGTACGCGCTCGACTGGAAATACTGCAACAGGAATATAAGCTTATCGAGGACGACCTGGAGGAAATTAGATTATTGAACGAGTCATCAGCGCTTAGTCCACTCTTTCAGCTTGAGCGTGCCACCAGTCTAAACTTTTTTCAGACAACGCGATCTCGCGATGAAAGGTGTAACTTAGAGAGTGACTTAGATATTGCAAACGCTTCTTATCTCTTGAGGATGAAGGCACGAGGTGGCGTCAAAGAGCTTTTGAGATTCCCATCGACCGAAGACGAAATCGCGTCACCATCAAATCATTTCTCTGAGCGAAAAGTGTCACTATTGAGTTCACGATCGAACATTTCGCAAAACGAGATGCTTGTGGAGGTCAAAGCCGATTCCATCGACGACTTGACACAAGGACCTGTAAGTGGTAGTGCATTAGAATCTTGCAAAACCTGCACAGAGTCGCACCAGATGATTGTTACTGAACCAAAATCTCCTCTTCAAACTTCGGACATTTTTATACTTGAGCATCCAAATGATAAAAATTTTGCATTAACTCTCGATGCAACTCTTGTCGACAAAGAAGGTTGCAATACCTTTTTGGGGTACGCCCCGGCGAAAATTAGCTATGTTCGAAAGTATTTTCTGGCCGAGGATCGTGTCACGTCTTTCTTCCAGAGTATAAAAAATGATGAGGATAAGCTTGTGATACCCACGCATAGAACGAGTGCTCGGCGAATCTTAGATGCAGCTCAACGCTTGGCATTCTTTGAGGCAAATAGCAAGATTGATGTAGATAGCAAGATCGAACTGGATAACCAAGGCAATAGCAGAGGGTCGCTGAAAGTTCTGCTTCATGCAGCGCGTGATCTCCCCACTGTTCATTTGAGAACGAAAACTTTGGATCCGTATGTGTGTCTGGAAATCGTCTATCCTCCTCATGTAGTATCTGCTGATGTGAGCGCTATGACGGACAGAGGGTTTCGTAGTCGAACGAAGAAAACGAGCATTTTCCCCGTGTGGGACGAGGGCTTTGTGTTTGCTCCAATCTTGTCTCTTGATGGTTACCTTTACGTCCGCGTCCTGAACAACCGAAGGCTAAATCACGAACAACTTGTTGGTGAAGTTCGCATTCCGCTGCATACCTTATTGCATCAAAAACGCATTGTCGAATGGTATTCATTAAGCCTCAATACCCCTCTTGCCTCAGTCTTGCCCGCAAAGGCATCGCCAAAGCTCTGCGGTGGCTCTATAAAGCTTCAACTCCAATTATATTTTTCAAGCGTAGAGAGATACAAACATATTGTGGATGCATTGGTGGTACAATACGTCCAAGAGTTCAACCGGTTGCCGGCGTTTATCGATGCCAAAGAGTGCGAGAAGGAAGTCGAAAAAGCGATTGTTGAAAAACCAGAGAATGAAGAAACCGAGTCGACTTCGATAGAAAATGCAGGCCGTCAACGGCTGCGCATGGAATTTATATCCCAATGCCTTGCTGAGAATGTTGCGACATCAGCACCGTGGCATAAATCTTTATCTACACAAATTGCTGTCTGTACTTCTTTTTCGACACGAAGGGATTTTGCCGAAGATGTCAATATCGCCCTCGAAGAACCTATTGAGCTAGTTAACCAGCCAGCATTGCCAGATCACGATTATTTAGTGACCAACGATATTCAAAAGTCATCTTGTAGATTCTTCAAGACTGTATTGGAACGAAGAATGCAACCATTTGCGTCAAGGGTAAAAATGCCTGTTGGCACTTGCCACAATCATTCACCAACGGCGCACTCGGCGAGCTTTATAGATACCGCCACACAGCAGCATCACACTTTGTCACGAAGACGCATTTTTGAGGAGCCCGAGTGTTTTGATGAATACAGCCTATATCATCCAGCCTCTAAAAACATGAGTTATGAAAAATACAGCAGTAAGCGTGGGGTAATGCAGACAAGTCGCATCATAGCACAAAAGCCGAAAGAGACCCGCAATACCAACTTGAGCATTTTTAAAAGTCCGAATCTGACTCGACGTTCACCCAGCTCATGTTTGCCCGAAAGATACATTGGTCTAGATAATCAAGCCTGTGAGCGGCTCAAGCGAATGTTTGATCGAATGGATCGAGAGTTTGGCTCAAAACATGTCAAATCAGGAGGTTTTCATATGACAGATTAATATTTAAATGTCAATGCATGGGTTTTTTGTCACAATTAAAATTTGCAGAACAAGTCATGAGTCTACTGCGACCGGAAACGGTGCAGATCGTGGCGCAGAGTCTTGGTCTAGACAACATAGGCGACGACTCTATTCGCGAGCTGCTTCCGGAGGTAGAGCTGCGTGTGCGAGAAGTTGTACAGGACGCTCTTAAATTTCAGCGGCACTCACGGCGGCCGCAATTGGATTCAGTGCACATCAACCAGGCACTGCAGGCTCGAAACTTGGAGGCGAGTACCTTAACTCTGGCCAAACATGCGCAACAATACACCACGATTTAACACTAACTGATGAATGTAGAGTCTGTATGGCTTTTCGGCGCCAGGAAATGTCAAATACAAACCCTGCGATGAAAACGAGACGCTCTATTTTGCCGAGGAAGAGGAGCTGGAGTTGAGCGAGCTGCTTAACGCTCCATTGGGCCAACTTCCATTGCATCATGTCCTTAACGTCCATTGGCTGGCAGTTGACGGCGTACAGCCTTTAATCCCCGAAAATGAGTCAGCGGAGGATGACTCGACGTGCCACACGTCAATTAAAGACGAGGCTTTTGTCTACAACGTGGACAGGAAGCCGAGAGTCAAACACGCATTGACGGAGGAGATGCAACTTTACTATACAAAAGTGACGGAAGCGGTTAAAAGTGATGACTTTGAGCTGCAACGGGCAGCCCTAACAAGTCTCGCGCAGGATCCAGGTATTCATCAGCTGCTGCCCTACTTTTCGCGCTTTATTTATGAGGAAGTCAAACATAGTAATCATGACTTGTCGCTGCTCTTTTCTCTCATGCGGGCATGTCGCTGTCTACTCGTCAACCAGAGCTTGCATGTGGAGCTCTATGTACGTCATCGATGTAGAAAATGCATCAAGAATTGAGCTTTAATGCGCACGATTTTGGTGTTTGTTTACAGTTACACCAATTAATTCCAGCCATATTGACATGTGTGCTCGGGACGCAATTATGTGAAAATCCTGCAGACGATCACTGGGCATTGCGAATATACGCAGCCAAGTTGGTCGCTCAAATCTGTGAGTGCTATGGCGAAAAGTATGCCAATATTCAATCGCGCGTGTCCAAGACGTACCACAAGGCAATAACCAATCCTATATGCCCGTTTTCAACGCAGTACGGGGCTCTTAACGGTAAGTGCTTCGTTTAAAAACGAGACGGTGCTTGTACTGACTAAGGATGTCAAGTAGGGATGCTTTTTTTGGGCCCACTTGCGATGGAAAGTTTACTTTTCCCCAATCTAGAGAGATACTACCGGCGATTGGAACCAGCGCTGTTGTCGTCAAATCCCAACCTTGTTGAAAGACTCGAAGCGCAGAACTGCCTTGGAATCCTTGTGGTAAGCCATGTTGAAATCTAATAAGCGCGTTGATCGTCTAAAGTATTCTCGTTTGGTTTCGACCTTTAAGCATGCATCTGGGACATATTTTTCGAAGTCAGCGGGACATAGTGCGTCACAATCATTGCCCCCTTATGCTATTGTTGATAGAACTTCTTTGCTATTTGACGCGTTTGGCGAGAGTCTCCTTCCATACCTTCGTCCACAACAACCAAGTATGCTAGATATGTCTATTTAGATCTAATGGAAGCTGATGCCGCAAGACGGCAATATATTTTGGATTTAACACAGCGAATAAATTGTGAACTGTATTCACTCGATACTAATCTACAAAGGAATACACCTTGTGAACGCGACAAACCTGCGCTGTGTATATTAACGAGGTGGATGATATTGAAGTTGAAGGTGCTGCTGAAGTAGGTACTGATGTCGGAGGTAACGTTGGGTTCAAAATCGCCCTTGGGTAATTGGATAACTTTATCAGTCTGTTCCAGGTGTAGAAACCAAAGTATTTTTCCAGCTCAATCTCCATGGTATTGTCATCAGGTCGACGATCGAAGAACATGAACCAAAAAACTTCTTGGCCACCACTAACCGGACTCCACTTCAAAAATGCACTGTAGAAGGCGAAAGCATTAGAGACGCTTGGCACATTATTCGGTGCAAATGACGGTGATGATCCAGCAGTGGGAAACCCAATTTCTGTAAGGCGTACTTTATCCGACGGAAAAATTGTTAACATATTGTTCCAGGCGCCATTGAGCATCGCTAGTGGTTCCCGGGCTGTGTATGAGGCATCAAAAAAGGGATATATGTTCACACCCAGAATATCACAACCGTTTGCAAGTGCCAGAATAGCGGAGCGAGAGCTGGATGCCGTCCACTCATTATGTCGCTGCACTGTTCCAATATTCACTATACGCCCTGTCTCGCTCAAAATTTGTGCACGAAGAGTACTGATGCGACGCAAGACCTCGTCAGGGGAGTAAGGTCCAGCAGGATAGATATTTTCATTGCCAACCAAGATGGCCTTAATTGATTCGGGATAATTTTTCACAGCAGCAATCGCTGCGCTCACTTGATCGCCATACCAACTCTCATCGGTCATGAAAACACCGAGATAAAGCTGAATTCCATGTCTCGCAGCATGAGACGCGACTGAATAACCGTAGTAGCTGGAGTAATAGGTACGTACAACTGTGACATACTTTTTCATGATGCTAAAGTCGGTGTCCATGGCCAAATCCAGTCCCACGGCACTGCCTCCATTTAGTGGATATTCGGCATTATGAAATGGGGAGTAGCACGTTCCCTGTATTATGGGAGACGATGCTTCAACGCGATCTGACGGGAGCACTGTACCAGCATAAGGACTTAATTCATGACCCGTAAAACCTTGCAGATTTAGAGCGGCCAACGTCGAAAGCAGCGACAATAAAATCCCAGCAAACACAATGGGATAAACCCGTAACATTATTTTTGATTAGCGCACGGGAAATTGATGAATGATCTGAACATGCGAGAAATGGATAAAAGAAAAGCAGTTACAAAATGCGATGCTCGGAATGACCTGATAGAATAGATCGTGGAAAACGGTATTCTATTCTGAGTAGAGAATCTCAAACGATTGAGTTTGTGTGGGATCGTTAAGATGTCGCTTCCAGCTCTGCAACGTGCGAGTTTGATTTGCGTTGTAGGTCCATTTAAGCACTCGAGCTCGCCTTTCGAAGTCAGCGAGCCCGTAAGCAAAACCTAGCCCAATGCCCCCACCGTAGCAAAGCTGGATGCCTTGCCGCGAGTAGCAGTACTCATTTATATGGTCATGTCCTACGAAAGTAGCCTTCACGTCTCCCATCTCAACTAGAGCGGAAAATAAACCACAATTCACCGCAGCACTGTATACAATTTCATTTTTGTCTCCAGCACGATTTAAGGGTGACACTAACGCATATTCGGGAATCGGAATGTGATAAAACATAACTGCCGGGATACTGCCATGATGTGACGAATTACTGCCACTCGTCTCTTCTGCGGCGTGCAACTCTGCTAATTGTCGATAGAACTCAATCTGAGACTCTTTAATCCAATCGTAATCGGTATCATCGTCTATCGATGGATACATTTCCTTACGAATAGTGGCCAATGAGTCCAAGAAATACATGCGGAAAACAGTTGTTCCCTGCTCACCCCAGGGGCCGTCACGTGGTGCCACGACGTTAACTTCGTAGTTTCCAACGCCAGCGACGTTACGGGGGCCGTATTTCACGTGAGAAAACTGCTTTCCTTCCATCATTAATGCCAACATTTCTTCGCGAGTCAGCCCACCTTCTGCGTCGTGATTACCAAACACTGCAGCCCAAGGAATTTGTTTACGCTCAACGCGCGCAGTAAAGACATTGATTGCAAAAGCGTTTATCTTTTTGTCATGAGCAGTCTGAACGTTGTCACCTGAAAATACAACAAAATCAGGTTGCTCAATATCAAGGAGCTCGTCGAGGAAAGCAATTGTAAGTGCCTCTCGACACTCATAGTACATTGGATCGTTGTCGTCGCCTGCTTTGATTGAAATTGAAGCGTTGCTTTCTGCTCTCAAATCCGCAGCAATAATTGAAGCGGCTTCCAATAAGGTTGCGCGGAATGTGCTTGGACCAGATGAACACCGCAAGTCAGGGTTTCCAGTGATATGCATGTCTGCGATTTGAAGCACTTTAAAAGAAAGTTCATCACTTGATTTCGAATCATGTGCTTCGACCGCAGAAGATGTTTCATTTTTGCTGCTGCGGGAACTAGTCGACGTTGTTGTTAAATTCAGAGCGATTGGCTCGAACTTTTTCGTCATAACAAAGGTTTGCACAGATCCTGTGGACACGTTCCCCACTACATTCCAGTCACCAGAAATCGTCGACGAGATGTTGAGCCGTTTACTTTCAGCCTTTGATGTTTCGTACAATGACAACTCTGCCACAAAAGATGAAGTTGCTGAACTTGAAGGTGAATTCGGGCTGGTACTGGAAAAGTCAACGAGATCCCAAAGAGCGCACAACTTAATCTGCTCACTGATAATTTCCGTGCTGTTGGCGCCGTTTGCGATCTCAAAACAGGATTCAGTCGGTTTTACCACATTTAGATCGATCAACACAGAAATTAGATCTGTCGCATTTGCTAGCGGGCGCTGAATGCAAATGAGGACGTCGCTGATATTGCTGTTTGCAGTCGCACTCTCAGACGATTTAAGTACGAACTCCGGACTTTCCCATTGCCCTTGAGGTTCCAGCTCCTCACACGCGGAATAGATGGTAGCTGTAGTCACATCTGTTAGAATTTGTAGAGCCACGATAGGGCGAACTGGATATCGAACGCTTAGGTACACGCCAGAAGTTGATAGATCCATTCTGAGGTCGGCCGGCCAGGTGATCCAACCTGGTGTTTCGTGGTTGTAGAATAATTCAGTCGTCGTCATGACATCCACTACGTACTGCTGCGTGTCGAAGGCCTTATTTGCAGAGACAAATTCCATACAAATGAGAAGGTTGGTACTCGGATTAACGACCACCTGCATGTTGAAAGGGCATGTTTCGGCACCGGACACGACCACAAGACGTCGCATCACCGATATCAAATTTAAATCGATTGAACCTACATCTTCGCTATTCTTCGTTGCTTCCACACTCTGCTGCATACACAAGTACGAACTTATTCTATCCGACGAAGCCCACTCGACTCCTGTCGGAATCCACGCACGCTGTACACATGCATCTCTGGCATCGTCATCTGAGCGTGCACTGATTAAAGTCAAATTGGTCACGGCTACATGAGATAAAGCCAGCAAGTTGGCTGGAATAATTTCTGTGCCCTCGTTTGAAACAGCATCATCGTCAATTGAGATAGAAAGAACGATAATTATTGTTATCACAACCGCCAATGTGACCAACACTGCTGTGACGATAAATGCTTTGCACCGGGTAGTCATAAAGTCGAGCCCATTTTCTTCGACGGGCTCAAACTGTGTGGAGTTCATCTCGCCCGGTAGCGAGGAAGTTGAGTCTTGAGAATGTAGCGCGTGGAACTGAGTCTTGGATGGCGACAAAGATATTGCGTGACCTGACATATTAGCTTAATCTACTCGGCGATGCACTTAACCAGTGTGTCAGGTGGCCGTCAATTTGACGATGAAAGAATAATAGAATGCAGCCAATCGTATGGCGATCGAAATGGTACTAAACTATCGCAAGTAGCGATGATGATGCTATGATTAAAAAGGGATGGGAGAAGAACTTTTTTGCAGTTCTTTGCCATAAGCAATTATAGTAATGGGTAAAGGTTAATTGCTGCGCTGAGGGTGTCCCCACGACATCCACGAAACAGTATCGGGATTTTCGCGTCCAGCAACGTTTAAGTTCTATGGCAGAGCTGTCAATGTGTAGAAACCACACTTACAATCACAAGAAACTGGCATGATGACTTGATTACAATATTCGCACTGTCGTTACGCCAATAGTAATTCATTAAAGCACATCTATTCGTGGTATCCGTTTCATTGTTTGATAAGCAACAGCTTTTAGGGCTTCTTGTCAAGGAGCTGCTTATAAAGCCTAAACTCCAGAAGCTGCAGCAAGGAAGATCGCAGAGGCAACTTTTTAAAAAAAAGATAGCAAGTTTGTAAGAATCTGTCATACAACAAAGTTTTTGACGTATCAATGCCTCTTCACCTTCGTTTTCAAACAAATAGCTCAAGTGCCCATGAAAACACTATGATCAGGTGCTTCTTTGCGCTGAAGCAAAATTTTCAAGTCTCACAAGCAGTCACGCTTTCTTTAATTTAGGAAAAAGGTAGCGGGAGCTTATCGAGCTGACTGCCATCGTTGGCCTTTTCTCTACTCAAGAAAGTCCGCCTCCTACACAGCTCTTTCGAATGCAGGTGTCAACATCAGAGCAGGCGATCCAATTTAACTGCTGGGTCATAATAAAGATCATCTTTACACGTAATCGATTCGGTGTCGAAAAGTGGAAATTGGCTGACCTCTCCTTTCTTACAACGGATATATAGATGATACGCCAGGCTAGCTGAGTGCCTAAATGGTTGAGTGCTTACCCATCAGCAGTGGCCTATTGATACAAACAAATCAGTGTACGAGGGCTCGAAACCCCTATGAGCGGCAAACCCGTCAGTTAGAATAGGTATGTAAAAGCAGCAAGCGTTCATTCCTGTAATAATTCATCCTGTTACAGCGTTTGGCGTAGGAGATGTTGTGGGAGTTATACACATTGTCAGATTAGTAGGCGCGATCTCGGTCAGCATTACCTCATCTAGGTCCGTGACATGATATAAGCTTCTCACTGCCTGGCTTTGAAAATGTTTGGATGCAATATACTCTTGTAAGGCCTGGAACCCTAATGTCATGCTGATCCATCGGCGGTAACACAATATTGCCGAATTAGCAGAGGCTGATTATTAAAAAGCTCGACTGCGTCCAGCTTGACATATAAAGGAGATGAAAGGGCGAGCCTTAAATTGCTTTGTGTGGCAGGCCTGTTGGCGGCAGTTGTACGATTTGACTAGAAGGGTCTTGATAGCCATACTAACTTTCATGTTTTGCTTTTTTTTCCACGCTCATGCCGGGCACGGACATGCAAAAAATAGCGTGTCAGGGCATTCCTCAGTAAACAAAATCGTGTGATCGAAGCAAAAGGATCACACAAAATGGTGTGGTTTGTACGAGATCTGGAATAGCATTTTCTCAAAGGCCAACAAATTTTTGTTGTTGTTTTTAAAGCTCCTCAAGTTTGCGAATCCGAAAAATAAGTTTGATTGACCTTATAGTCACTTAAAAAGCATAATGCCATCAATTTCTTTTAATAGCGTGACTCACACGAATTATATGACACCTTTTTTGTTTGCTGAAGGACCCCACAGGCCTTCATATTTAGATCTCGATGCATTTAAACCCGGAGGACTTAGAGCTTACTTCATATTTTTCGCAGATTACTGTAATCTGAATTTGAGATCAATTGGTTAATGAAACCATGTCAGCTTTTATATTTAGTGTTAGGGAGAATAAAAAAAATGCCCCAACTTTTGCCATATATAAAAAAAATATCCCAGCTTTTCAAAAAATGAAAAAATACCCT